TGCCAGTGCTGGTGCTAGTACCGCTACCGCTACTGCTACTGCCGCCGCTGCTACTGCTATGCCGACGACGACTGGACCACTGCTGATCCCGCTGTGACTAGCTAGAACTATTGGTGCAGGGATTTTGGTGCCTTCCGCTTGCGCCAATTGCAGATTGCCATGGAACAGCGGGGCCTGCACTTCACCGGCGTCGGAGGCTCCACTCCTCATGCCGCTGGGCCGTATTCAAGCGGGGAGAGGGCAACAGTCGAGGAGCCAAGATAAGTCTGTGGAAGAGGTTTTTTGACACACTCAGAGCTCTCAACCATCGCCAAATGCGCTTCCATGAGAGACTTTGGACCATGGCCTCAGGTGGAGCAGCTCCGGAGGGCGGAGGCGGTGTGTTTGTGTTCCTCCATTGTTGCGCAGCTTGAGACCGTAATCGTAACACACCGCTGAGTCGCTGAGCATTCGGAGCAGCAGCGAACTTTCGGGTGTCTTTGCATTGGGACTCGTTCCTGCCTGAACTCAACCACGTCAAACTTTGCACCCGCGACTACCATGCAGTAAAGTGCACCGTACCACGGGCAGCATACTTGTGTAGACCTGTTTGACGGCCCTAAACCCTTGCGAGGAGGAAAGGAGTCTGGAAAAGAGCCTAACCTTCTTCACCTTTCTGATGGGCACCTTCGGCTCTGCGACAGGCGGAGAAGCGGCGCGCCGAGCAGGAGCGTGCTCGCCTCGCAAGGTGCGAGGAGATCCGCTGATGGCACCAAGTTTCTGCAGTTTTTAGGGTTTTGTTTTGTAAAAGGGTTCCGGCGATAGGCTTTAGGGTTTCGGGTGCAGGGTTNNGGGTTTTGGTTTCAGGGTTCAGGGTTCCGGTTCAGGGCTTCAGGAATCTCTGGCTTGTCATGTGTGGCCCGAAGCCAGAAATACAACAATGCAGCAAATCCACTCGTTGCCACAGAGCCTGGGAGCCGATCGCGGAGTGCCGAGCGAGGCTACAGACCTTCTTGGAGAGCTGTGGTCCATCTCAAGGAGGTCTGAATGAAGGTAGGCAGGATTCTAAGGATCTCTTGCATAACGACTCTGCTTGGGGATTCCCCCAATCAGCTGTGAAGCCTCTTGACTTTAGGGCTGCTACCAGCCTTCCCTTATAGTCCCTGCAGGATTCCGCAAAGACAAACCCCAGCACCATATTGTAAGGATCTCGGCCTGAAGCCCTTAAGCCCTTGTAGGACCTTTTAAATTTTAAAAGGATCCCTTTCGAACCCTTTAAAGAACCCTTTTAGGAGCTCCACTGTGCTTGTCTTGGGACAGGCTCCTGGCCGAAGAGGGGCGCGTCCGAGCTCTTCANNGCAGCCTTGCGAGGCCTTGGTTCTGCGCCAACCGCACGGGATCCTCGTTTAGAGGTCTCGATAGTTCGTAAGAGACTCCCCTCAAGAGTGCCTAACCCCTAGACTGCTGTGAGTCCTGGAACTGCAGTCCTGGAACTACTTGTCCGAACCCTTAAACCCCCCTGGATCGCTGAAGCCCTGAACCCAGAAGCCCTAAACCCTACACCNNCACCGCTCGTAGTTATGCCGCCAAGCAACTCTATGGCCAGAATGAACAGTATGTAATCCTCAAAAAAACAACTACAAAGCCTGCGAGACCCGGCAGAGCAGGCGCCAAAGCGCGCGTCGTACATGCGCGCATGGCACTGACAAAAAAAAACCCTAATGTTCTGAGTGCTGAGACCTCATAAAACGCGGGAGTCTGTGCAGGGGACACTTCAGCCGAAGAAGCCGGCCAGGCCGAGGTGCGCTGCCAAAAGGGCTCAGAAAAGATATGGGGTCTCTGAGGACTCTTCGAGTTTACGGCTTCGGGTTTAGGTTGAGGGAAGTGGGTGTAGATTGCATGGTTCTTTAGGGAGTTAGAGGGTTTAGGGGCTCAAGACAGCAGATTTCAGTATTTTTGAAGGGTTTTGTTAGGTTTCGGGCCACAGTCCGGCGCGCTTCCACCGGGAGTCGCGGTGCCCGAGCGCCTACTGCATGCCATAGTGTGAGCATGATGAGGACCGAGAGATAAGGTCATGCAGCAAGACAGGGAGACAGATCATTTGTGACAGCGATGGCTTACCTCATGCAAGAACGGACTGGGTCCCACGTTCCCTGGGCTCCTTCGCACGCCAGATCCCAAATCCCCTGCCTTAGGGATTTCGATGATCATGGGCTATGTTTGGAATCTCGCTCAGCTTTTGCAGTCGCCGACAAAAAATCAAAAAACCCCGGCCCTCCGATGAACCTTCAGCGCCACACTTTGAGCTATATGCCGAAGTCCCCCAAACTGCCAATAAAGCTATCAGGAACGATAGGTGTCTCATGTCAAGCCAGCTACCAAAGATTCTGTTTTGAACTGAGCACCCAACCAAAACCACGAACTAGTTTAGTCCAGCTGGAGCCCCGTAGGCCCGTTGGCCAAAAGCACCAAGATCTCAAGCTTCGGAGGAGCAACGGAAAGAGAGGGAGTTCGAGGAATTCTGCGCTGCACGAACGCAGCCTGCGGGTTGCATTGGCCACAAAGCACGGGTGATGTTATATAGCTAGGTTTCATGCCGTGGATGAAGCTTCACCGCTTCATGAAGTGGTTTTCGGAGGATGGTCGTGGATGGTGTCCAGAGTACAGGCCCTCGTGCCTTCCTGACACAGGGGACTTCCATGCTTTCAGGCTCAATTTGTGAGCTCGGGGTAGCATGATGCAGCATTCCAGCCTCCTGCCGACGCTACAGCCGAAGAACCCTCAAGATTGGTAGTGGGCTCGAGTGTACAGGCACACAGAGGTGAATGAAACAGAGACAGACACAAAATGCAGCGGCCCTCCGAATGCATGTAGCGAGCACAGTCGTAGCCAGGCAAATGCATGTAGCGGCTCCCAAACGGATGTACTCTTGCACAGGCCTGTCGCAAGGTAGCCAGCCAGTCTTGCACACATCCTTCAAAGCAACCCATACTCGCACCCCTCAAGCAGTGAGAGCCAAGGAGTTCATGCGCAGGAATCTCTGTGATCAGCTTCTCAAGCCTGAGCCTGGCAGAACAACGCCAATCAATTGACGAACAACGCCAATCAATTGACACATGTCATCATGGGCCACATGTTGATTACGCAGACCCGGCCCGAAACTTTGATGCCTTTTGCTCGGTCCCCGACTCGGCCTAGGCCCGTCGGTGACTCGAAGTTCCGCTGCCTCGTCTGCCGCTGGGCTTGAAGGGCAGATGGCTTTGACTATTTCAGTTCAGGGCCCGGGATTCCATTTCGGAATGGCATGTGCGAGGACACATGACTAGGCGCTGGAGCTGATGAGTGCCGTGTTTTTTGGGGTGCAAATATTGATAGGAAGCTTCTGATAGAAAGACAGCCTGCAACACAGGAGCGGTTTCGTCTCGAGCGCTAGCATAAGATCTTCTCACGGCGGTCTAGATCCGTCGGCCGAACTCGAGGTCTGAAGCTCTTTCGTGGGCCGGAGTTCGTGCACAAGCACTTGCGCGAACGTCATTTGGATGAGTTCGATGCTAGTCGCTCCGGCATGGTGTCACTCACCGCTGGGCAACCGCAGGGTGCTGCATCGGATCAGTTTTTCGATGCAGACATTGCAGAGGAGACTAGTCCTCAGCAGTACACGCAAAGGCTTGGCACAGCCGATTCTGCATCATTACGGGAAGGAGGCTTTAGCCAAGCTGTGCAAGATGCAGCAGAAAATGGCGATTTGGCCTGCCTTCAGCAGGTGCTTCAGCAGCACGGTGCAGCGATGCTTAGCCAGCGAGATGTGGACGGTAGCACCCCTGCTCACCTCGCAGCCAAGCGTGGGCATGTAGAGTGCCTGCAGTTCTTGCTGCAGTGCAGCGTAGAGCTGGCATCTACGGATGACAGTGGCCACACACCTCTGCACCTGGCTTCACAGGAAGGCGAGCAAGAAGCTGTGGAGCTGCTCCTGCAGTGGGGTGCGCCTGGAGACACCACTGGCACTGCCAAACAGCGGACGCCCTTGCACCTCGCGGCCTCGAATGGCCACCTGGAGGTTTGCAGTGTCCTCTTGCTTCAGAAAGCCAATGTGACTGGGATCGCGTCAGCATTGGTTTGCTTCCTGCGTGTGGCAGTGATGCGAGTCTTCGTGCAACTGTGAGAAGCCTGGGCCAAGGTGAACTTGCAGGATGCGGATGGTGAGAGCCCATTGCACAAGGCAGCGCGCTTTGGCGCGACCCTGCCAAATTTTGGTCAGCGCCCATATTCGTAATCCATGAACAAAGAGACCGCCCTAGTCATTCACAGTGGCTTTCGGATGCAGCATTCAGTAATTCAGCCGATGAAGGACAGGCTAGTAGCAGTAGCACCTCGTAGCTATAGAGGTCGCAAGTGAACTTTGATTCTTTCCCTGACCCTTTGGCGTGTCAAGGATCGGGAGCTGTGTGAGCTGATTCTAAGTTGGGGTGCAAGCGTCACCCTGGCTGACAACGATGGGTGGTGTCCCCTCCACGAGGCAGCCAGGTGGGGAGATGGGGAGCTGGTGGAGAGCCTGCTGCAGCGGGGGGCGGACCCCGCAGCTCGCTCCAACGATGGGGAGAGTGCCCTGCATGTGGTGCCTGGAGGCTATGCCGAATTGGAGGTTGTGCAAGTCCTTCTGATGTGGAAGGGCGATGTGAACAACCGGGACTATGATGGCGAGACACCGCTCCACTTGGCAGTGAAACTCGGGGATGCTGAGCTTGCCGGGCTTCTGTTGCAGAGTGGCGCAGATGCAAATGCCACTAACACCGCAGGTGCCACACCACTGGACTTCGCCAAGAAGGATGAAATCCGCTGGTTGCTGCGCTCCCACAAGGGTCGCAAAGGCACTGGAGCCCTCTGATCGCTTTGTGAGATTCTCTCCGAATGGCAAAACTAGCCGTGCAGCTTCCATGAGGCTTCGGCCGTGTCTAGTATAGAATCTTCCACCACTGGGTTCTTGACCAGGTAGAAGCACACGGGGCTTCCCAAGCGTGCCGATGGTACTGTGTGAAAGTGCGTCCTCTTCCAGACTCGCCCATGGCTAAGGCCTGAAGAAGCAGAGCATGGATGGGCCCACGACTGATGATCGTGACGCACTCAAGGCCAGGACTGTGGCACTATTCAGCCAGATTGCGGACCGGCAGCGCCTCGGCAATGAGTGAGCTGAACGGTAAATCCCCACAGGCATCCACAGGCTGTCACAGGCTACGTACCCCACAGGACACAGACAAAGTGCCGACGGCCTACTCATTTGAGGCATCCGGTTCACGACAACTACGATTGCCAAAGTGGGCAGTATGCGCAAACACGAGGCGTCAAGTTTTCAGCCAAGGAAGACAACCGTGGAAGAGCGCGACCTGCAGGTGGGTTTTCTGGATTTTGGGCAGAGAAGAGTCTGGCACCTTTGCGGGTTCAAAACTGCAAGAACTGCCCGCTTTCTGTCCTGGTTGAGTCGCTGCAAACCAGTGCCCGGTTGCCTGGCTCCGGCAGTGACAGTTGTAGCAGCACGACGGCAGCAGCCGCAACCACAAAACACAACGTCGACACCATCGCAGCCAGGAAGAGCTTGAGTCCCTCCAGCAGGAAATCCAGGCCTTGGCTTGCACGCGTAGTTGTGGAGCTGTTTGCTCAAGGTCGGCTGTGGAAGGATCGGGTAGGTGTTCGAAACATTGCATGGGTTGCAGAGCATCGGTCTAAATGCAGAAGTCTTGGAACCAAGCGAGCAGGTTTCTGGGAGGGAGAGCAAAGAACGAGAGAAGGAGGATTCTCATCGCCTTGTGGGATATTTTTTGTCATTTCATTTCCCTCTGAAGAGCCAGAAGAGCTCAATGATGGTTATGCTGCTGCAGTTATGTCGATGATGCTGGTGATGATGATGGATGAAAGTGGACAGCTGATTCTCGGCCGAGGAGCAGGAAGCCGTTCACGTGGTGGAGGAGACGCAGGAAGCTGAAAGGACCCCCTAATCCGATCGCGAGTTGACGTGGGTAAGTGGTGCGAAATCGCAGAACAAGGACTTTGGGCTCATCTTAGGTGTCGAGAGCACATCATGTTAATGACTCGGGGGATGCTGTGTGGCAGTGGAGTCTCAGGGTGCCTGATGGGCTAGGAGATCCTCAATAGCAAGCCGTGCAAAGCTTCATCGGATTTCAAAGCTGTCTACTGGTACTATGTGGTCCAGTCGTGCATCCTTGTTGGCTACAGTCCAACCTTGAGCCCGAAATCGATTTGGCTCAAATCTGCAGGCTGGAGCGAGTTGCGCTCGGGACGAGTCAGCAGGTGAGTTCACAACACACTCGGTGTCGAAAAGACCATCCCTAAATCCAAAGTCCCTGCCCCTTTCTCTCGCAGCCGCAGCTCGTGTCCGAGCTGTGCGCGTGGAGCCATGGAAGATCTTCAACAAGCTCCTGAGCTCAAGGACCGGAGTTCCTTCGAGCGCCATCTCGACAGCTCTTGGCAGGACTTCCGGCAGCAACTGCTTGACGCTTATGTCGCATCGCAGTCCTCGGGACTTTCCACGGAGGTGCGAGTAGAGAAGTCAGCAGAGGCCCCAACAGAGGCCCCAACAGAGGCAACAGGGCAGCCGAGCCACGAAGAACCTGCGGCTGACGATGCTGGCGAAGTACCGGCGAAGCAACGCCGCTGGAGTGAAATCGAGGAGTATACTCTGACCTGCCCCTTTCTGAAGAGTGGGCTGCACGGCTTAAGCCCCAAAGAGATGGAGTCGGTCCGAAATCGGCTCAGGTTGCGCCTGGGGATTTTGAGCTCCAAGCAGCTTGTCTCCGGTCGGATCTTGAGGGATGCTGTTCAGGCACTCGGCCTCACGATATACGGCGAGGAGGACATGAACGAGTTCGTGAACCTTCTTGGCGACTTCATCAGTCTGAAGTTCCGCCTGGTCCAGAAGCCAAGGGGAAGCCAAAGTTCTCTGTCCTCCCTGAACTCCTTGTTCAGCTTCGGGGAGACTTCCTCCACAGATGTTGCAAAGCTTGGCAAGCCCACATGGAGCTGGCCTACAGCAGATAAGGTTAGTGGGTACGCTGGTCACGAACGAAAGGGCGGCGACTTTGAATACAACTGCGTCCCAGCAGTCCCGTTGCTGGAGATCTTCCTTTCGCAGGAGTCAGAGGTGCACAAGCACATCTTCGGGTACAAATTCAACCAGTACAGGGCCATTCGAGAGATTCTGCTGGCAGGGGATACGAACCGCTTGGTGGCAGAGTTGACCTTTGTCAGAATTAACGACCTGGCCACTCCTCCTGAGCCAATGCATCCCATCATGTACCTCGAGCCCTTCGTTGCTCTCATCATTTTCGCCAACGGCGTCATGGTCGGCTTCCAAACTGACCCGCAGTACAAGGATTGGCCAGGCTGGATCTACGTGGAGATAGTCTTCGCAATGTTCCTGGTCGCAGAGATCTGCTTTCGCCTTTGTGTGCTTCGCTGTGGCGCCTATTGGTGTGGGGGTGATCGCTGGTGGAACATCTTCGATGTTTTCCTTGTGGCGACGAGTTTGGCGGATGTCGCTTTGCAGTTGGCAGGCTTTGCGTCGGACCTCGAGGGCACATCCCTGCTTCGCTTCTGCCGGCTGATCCGCCTCATCCGTATCGTCAAGGTTTTTCGAGTGAAGGCTATGAGGGAACTGCGCCTGATGGTGAAGGGCTTGCTGGCAGGCATCCGAACCCTGCCTCTTGCCTTCGGACGTTCTAGTGCGGAGTTTTTCTTTGCTTCTAGTGCTGCGCTTGTGCCCCTGCCTAGCGACATCGTAGAGTTCATCATCAAAGGTCTCTTGCCTTCGTGCTGCTGTTCGCAGTCCTCTACGTTATCGCAGGCTTCGCTACTATGACCATCGGGAACGCAGAGCGAACCGAAGAGATTGGTCTTGGGAACTACTTCTACAACATCCCAACATCCATGTTCACAGCCTTCCGGTGTTTTACAGGTGAGTGCATCAGTGATGATGGCCGGCCTCTCCAATCCCTACTCGCTGCTGAGTATGGCGTCATCTTTGTTGCTGGCTACGTCGCAAGCTACATGCTGGTAGCCATGGGCATCTTCAATGTAATCCTAGCAGTCTACGTGGATATCACCATGAAAGCGGCGAAGGAGAACGATGCTGTCAGCGCCGAGCAGCACGCGCGGGAGTCCATCCGGGTCGCCAGGACGACACGGGAGCTTCTCAAGATCTTCAGTGCAGCGTACCACTCTTTCCGGGACAACAGTGCCGAAGATCAGGTTCTGAAATATCCATCTGCCGCTACTTTCGCGGAGGACGGCATGCACGACCAGGTGGCCATTACCAAGGAGCTTTTCTTGTTGGTGATCCAGGACAGAAAAGTTCAGCAGCTGATGGATGACCTTGATCTGCCGCCGGATCGCGCCAACCTGTTCGAGATGTTGGATGCCGATGGTAGTGGGACTTTGCAGACCACGGAGCTGCTCCAGGGCCTGTTGAAGATCCGCGGAGAGGTGAACAAGAGCGACACAGTAGCGTCACTCTTAGCCACAAAGGCTGTTCAAAACTTGGTCAGCGACGTGAAGGACCAGAACTCCCAGCTGCTCGAGGCGCTGAGGCAGAGCAGCTCCCAGCTCGCTGCTGTTCGGAAAGAGCTGGTTGCAATGATGCGGGACGGCGGCAGAACATCACGGGACCCTTCGTCGGACCGGGACCGTGCTTGCCCCTCCCCCTCTGGCATATCCAGCAAGCTCCTAAACGTTCAGGTGCCGGGACGTCCCGGGTCGCCCTGTCAGATCGAGCATGCACCGCCTTTCTGAGTGAGTCTCCTCGCCCGAGAAGTGTCCAGATTTCGCTTTCGGTCTGAGTTCACTTCTGCGGAGCAGAAGTGGCCACATCTCGGGCCTGATACAGAAACCGGCCTCATTTGAAAGTCGTGCTGCGCATGTAGTAGCGATTAATAGGATATGGGGTGTGCAAGCAAGTTCAGGGAATTGGCCTGGGTTCTATCAATGAATTCGCTCATTTTCTCCTAGTCGCCGAACCTTCCTTCCGGTATCCAACCTCCGGAAAGTGCCAGAGCCAAAGGCTCGGGCTGACTCAGACCCAGCACGATGCGCCGGAAAAATGCCAGGAAGTCGAAATCTAAGGCCTGAGACAGTCCTGAGACTTTCAGAGCCGGAATTGCAAAATCAGTTCCCGAAGACCCACGTCGTTGCAGGATCCAGACGGCATCTCTTGAGCTGCCTTCGCTGGATGCAGCGAGTCGTGGCTTAAAACTCCACCTAAGGTTCCTTTCGCCTCACAGCCAGGGAGAGTTTAGGGGTTTCGGGATGATGACGACTGGCTGCACCATTACTGTGTCAGCAGCGATGTTTGCACTGCTATGAGCTGCTGATCTTATCCTCTGAATCCTTGCCTTTGCGATCCTTCGCGACTTGGCCCAGTCGCGAGCTTCAGTCTGAGGTTCTTACCGATTCGAAGCTCAATGGAGGCTGGCTTTCTTGTTCTTCATAAAGTCGTTGGCAAGGAGAATATATGGACCGATGGCCAGCATGTTAGTGTGCTAGAGTTGACGTGTAGTATACCCTCTATATCGCAGCAGATATCGAGTTCAACACGGCCGTCAGATGGTTCAGTCCAAACCCACGACATTCGGTGCACACGCAGGGGATGTGATTGAGGCCGGACCATAACGACAAGCAGAATCATCATCATTATTAATGTTAACCACAACAGTAGCAATAGAAGCAGTAATAATATAACAGCGATAAGGAGAACTATGTGTTCAATGTCGTCTGGGCATCAGAACCAATGCAACGGACACTGGATGTTTATCAACGGCTCTAGAAATTCAGCTGTTGCGATACACACTGAGACAGTGTGTCGGAAGAATTGCAGAAATGGGCTTAGAGCAGTCTCGCTTTCACTCCAGTCGTTTGTCATCTCTTTTGAGCTCTAAGTCTTGCTGGCTACGGCTCAAGCCCTTTCAGCATCAAGCTGTACGATTCCTTCTCTTCGCTGCAACTTCGACGCCATGGCTGCAGTCTTCCCGGCCAATCAGGTGATCGTGGTCGGCGGCGGCCTGGCAGGCATGTCCGCGGCCAACACCGTGGTGGAGCTTGGTGGCCGCGCCATTCTGTTGGACAAGTCCTCCTTCTGCGGAGGGAACAGCACCAAGGCCACCAGCGGCATCAACGGTGCTGGGACCAAAACGCAGAAAGGAAAGTCCATCCCGGACACAGCGGAGATCTTCATTGCCGACACGCTGAAGGGCGGCGCGAAGAAGCCAGAGCTGGCCAAGGTGCTGTGTGCCAACAGCGCTGCGGATGTTGACTGGCTCGTGGACAAGTTCGACCTGGATCTGTCCCTCGTCGCGCGCCTGGGAGGGCACTCCCAGCCCCGCACGCACCGCGGCAAGGAGCGCTTCCCAGGAATGACCATCACCTATGCGTTGATCCAGATGCTGGAGAAGGTTGCTGAGAAAACCAACCGAGCTCGCATCGTGACGAAGGCGGAGGTGTACAAGCTGCTCGTCAATGCCGGCACCGTGGTTGGCTGCGAGTACAAGAAGGCCGGCAAGACCGTCAAGGAATTCGGCCCGATGGTCCTCGCCTCCGGCGGTTTCGGAGCCGACTTCGGGGCCGATTCCCTCTTGGCCACGTACCGGCCAGACTTGCTCCACCTCTCACCAACGGCGAGCACTGCACTGGTGATGCCATCAAGATGGGAGAGGCCATCGGTGCAGCCACCATTGACCTCGAGTGGGTCCAGGTGCACCCGACCGGTCTGGTGAAGCCGGACGATCCCGATGCCAAGGTGAAGTTCTTGGCCGCGGAGGCCCTCCGAGGTGTTGGTGGCATCGTCCTGGATGCCAACGGCGACCGCTTCTGCAACGAGTTGGGCCGACGCGACTATGTCACTGGAGAGATGTGGAAGAACAAGCCGCCCTTCCGCCTGTGTTTAAACAAGGCTGCAGCCGATGAGATCATCTGGCATGCCAAGCACTACACCGGCCGTGGTGTCATGAAGTTCTACGCCTCGGGCGAGGACTTGGCAAAGGACATGGGCGTCCCTTTGCAGAAGATTGTGGATGCCCACCAGAAGCACTTCGAGGCGGCAAAGAAGCAGCAGCCTGTTTCGGCAGGTTGTA